TTAATTTGGTTTTCTTAATAGGCAAAATAGCTAAGAGCTTAATAATAAAAGACACTTACTGCTTATCATTTACATTATTTTATGTGTTCATTAATAATTATAATGGGTTTTATAAAACAAAAAAATCAAGTCTAAGTATCCCCAGGTCATGTTAGTGCAAATGTTGCATACTATTCTGTGGGAGATTTAGTAAACTAAGTGTTTTTTGAAGGGCATTTTTGACTCCATATGTTGTAGAGCAAGACAAAGAACTTCAAAGGAAATTTATTTTCTGGTTCATTCTGTGGAAGGAAAATGTAACAGAGGATAAATGTCCTGCTTTGCTTTCTCCAGATACATTTCCAGGCACAGTGCAGGGATGGGCAGAACTGAGACCACAGCACCTTATTAAATACCCTAAATATAGTTTATTAGGTATAGAAGTACTGTTGTTACAATCACATCTTCTCTTCTGTAGGCTCAGTTGTCCTTGTTCATTCAACTTTTCCTTACACACCCCATTTCCTGGGCCTCCAGGCATTTTCTTTGCTGCTCTCTAAACAGTCTCCATTGGAACACTTTCCTGGCAATGTCATGCTCCAAAAAAGCTGTATAATTCATGGTCTCAGTGGTGCCCTCCAATCTGCTGAGCACAGAGCTCTGCATACTCTGTACCACCCCTGCTCCTGGCATTGCAGGCATCTCTGGTGGCTTTTGTCAGTGCCAGGACAAGGGAGGAGAGCTTGTGAATTCAGCAAGGAAGGGCAGTGCTGAGAGCACAAGGGTGTGGATGAACAGAAGAAAAACAGGGATAAGATCTGGTACCTTAGAGGAGCTCACCACTTGAAATTCTGTTCATCAGTAAAGTTTGTGGGTGTGGTTTTGCTACCCAGCAAATCCTGATGGAGAGGCACAAGCCCTAAGATGTTATCTGTAAAATCAGGATGCAGATACTGCTTTTCTCTCTAAATGTGACATTGAGGAGTGGCCAGCTTGGAAGGGCTTAGCTCTGTATTGTCTCAAGAGTTGCAACGTTCATTTTCAAACATTTTTGTTGTTAGATCAGAACCTGCAGTAGAAAATCCCCATCTTGTGAAATTGCACCATTTCTCCTGTTTCTGGGATTGCTCTGTAGAAACAAGGGCTGAGTCAGACTCTGGATGTTCTGTTTCTGAGCTGCAAACATTGCAGTGTTTTAGGTGATGCCTCAATGATGTGAGCTCCAACCAGCCACTGCTGGGCTGCACAGCCACCCTGTCCTTGCTGGCCACAGAGGGATGGCAGCTCCAGAGAGGTGCCTGGTTCTGCTGCAGGATCCCTCTGGGGCTTTGGTGGCTGACCCCACAGTTTCCAGATGTTCCATTTGTATCTGTCACAGCTGGTGAGGGTTCCTGCATGGAAAATGCTACCTGTGCTCCTGAGCTAGGATAGGAACAAGGGATTGCATCTTCCAACATAAATTGCCTTTTGATCTGGGACATTTTCCCTCACCAGTGTATCAATCCACTCCAAGCTCCATCCCGGAGGGGCTTTTTAGAGCATAAAAGCTGCTTTCCAAGCAAATTCCTTTTTATGACAGTCATCAGCCATCATCATTCATCCTGCTCACATCATCATATGCAGAGTTGTATCATGCCAGGCACTGGAGAAGCTCAAAGCTCCAAGGGTTCTCTGAGTAAAAAATGTATAAATGCAGATAAGGAAAACCATCCCTCTGCCATCTGTTCTATAACCCAGAGCCCTGCATACCTCTTGACTGCATTATAAAAGGAGAGATAAATGAAAGGAAAATTCATGTGTGTGTTCTCCAGTCAGAATATTATCATATGGATCTGTTACCATCTTCATACTTCCCAGGCTAAATGAAGGAAAAAGTAACTCCCTTCTAAACCAGTAAATTCCCCCAACCTGTAATTTTTACTCCTGATTTTGTGAGCTCCTTGGGAATAGAGAGGGCTTTATTATTATTATTATTATTATTATTATTATTATTATTATTATTATTATTATTATTATTATTATAAACTGCTCTGGGAACAGTTTCAACAAAAGAAGTAAACCTTGCATTGTGTTCAGATAATGTTCTTAACTTCTCAACAAGATTTAGTAAATTGCACCCTGGGAATTAGGCAAATGAAACCCTTGGTCAAAATGTTACAGGATTACTGAAAAAAAATCTCTTTTTTTAATTTTTTAATCTCATTAAGAGTGCTAAAATTACATGCTCCAATATAAAAAGCATTTGTGTGATAAATATCTCCCTGGTAGTGAAATGTACTATGCTTCATTGTCAATGGTCTTTGCAACTTTCTGTGACAAGTGCTACTTCTTACATTGTTTTTCTTCTGAACACTTCACACCATCATATTTTTACTGAAAATGGATTTAAGTATAGGTAGCAGGCAAACCCTTGTGCTATGATTGCAATTAACAGCAAATAACAAGTCTTTGCTGAGTATTTTCAGTATATTTCTCCCATCTTTGTTTTGCTCAATGCAGTATAATTAGCTCATGGATTTCTCTGAGTATAATTGGCTGTGGGTCTTATGATATATTTCATCTCCTAGATCTGCAATGATTTACATACAGACAGCTTAGACCCTATTAATGCTAATAAAAGTGCTGCAAGGACATCCTATAGCGTGCACTTTATTAAACTGTACATAGCTTTCTTCGAGAGCTTCTGTTTATCTGCGTTTCCCAAAAATAAAATATAGTGCCTTTAGCACTGAATATTTAAATCCAGGCTCCTTTTCCCTGTTTCTGTCTCTCTCTATGCATTTCTAATGCTTCTATCACAATGGGATCTGGGTACTATATGCAACAGGAAATAGAGCAGAAAAATGTCCACTAACAGGCTCTTCCCTTCTGTGATTTGGGTTAAAACTGCTCCCATTTTGGTTCCCTGGAGTGTCTGCTTAGCTCTTTGGCATCTGTGCTCAAGCACAGCCATAGCTGAGCCAGGCTGGGGCTGGGTAGAAGTGCAAAATACCTTTGTTGGGTTGTTTTGGGTTTTTTTCCATCATTTTAAGTGTAAATGTACATTGCAGTTCATTTGGAGCTGTGCAGACATACACTGATAAAGACACACAGGTGTGTGTCCCACGTTACCCTTTTTAATTTGTAAGGTGGGAACTCCACCCTGGCTCAAAGCTGGAGGTCCAGCAGTGTCTTCCTGTTCTCACTTACCTTAAGATGTGGGTGTAGCAGGCTGGAGCTTAACTCCCTGGTGTGAGCTGTGCATTTGCACAGACATTGCCACCAGCTCAATTTCCAGCCCTTCCCTCTGGCAGGGCAGAGCTGACCTTCTGAAAATGGGGACTGTGATCTTCAGCTGTCAAACTGGTGACAATGCTGTCACTGAAACCACAGTTGTGCAATCAGTGCTTGATTTTACTACACCCTTCCTCACCCCCAGATTTGCTCATAAAAGTTGGATTCATGGCTTGTCTACTTGTGTTTTTCTACCAAACACGTGCTAGCCCCACCTGGGCAAATAAACCTGGACAAAACCTCCTGTGCAGCATGAGGACCCTTTCAGTGTCCCCAGGCCTTCTTTTAAGTGACTATATCAGTGTAAGTCCAGTTAGTTTTCCTCAGTACTAGCAGTGTAACAAGCAGTGAAGCCTTTGGAGAGAAGACAAATGGAATTGTGTCTATTCCCTGACCTTCAGCTCCAGCGGCGTAGGTCAATCCTGGCAGTGTCTGTAATAACTGACATGATTAGCAATTAGCAGGAGCTGACAGTTTGGTGGGGGAAGCACAAAGAAAACAGTGTACAAACTTGGTAATGATCTGGACAAAGGTATCAAAGGAGATTCTGGGAGCCAGGGATCTAATATTGCCCTGCTCCGACACGTTCAGCATCTTGTCAGCCTCCTGTGTCAGGAGAGGAAGGAAAAGCAGAAGGTCACATATGGGAGGAGTGTGCAGCAGCCCACAGCCCCATCTCAATTCCTTTGCTTGACAAGAAAAGCCTCCTCTTCCCTTGGGAAATGACCTTCTCTCCCCAAATCCAGGCTGTTTGGGGAACACAGCATCCCACTGAGCTCACTCAGGCCCTTCCAAGGGTGCAGGTGCCGTAGCAGAGATGCCAACGTGCATTCAGCTACGAGGGCTCTTTTATCTTCCCACTACTTCGTTGTATTCATAGACCTGTTAGGGAAAAATTCATGCACATCGCTTTTTACAGTGCCAAGACACTTTGTGATGGTGCAGGGGGTGGTAATTTATTTGTACCTTGCACTTTCTTTCGGGAATAGTCATGCTGTTGCAAGAACTTCTTTCAGCAGTTGATCAGAAAATTAAATTTGTGTTTAAAGAGATAGTCAGGGTTGCTAGGACAACATATTAACCTCCCTTCTTTTTTTCCTCAGCTCTGTATCTAAGGTTCATGTGCTGTACTCAGCTTGCAGTGTTGTTCTCAAGGTGCAGGAGGGAAGGGCTTTCAGAAACAATGTCCAAAACGTGCTTTTCCTCAACAAATAATCACATGAAATGGTAACATCCCACTGGGCATTCCCAGCCTGGCCTTGTCAATCCAGCAGGGTTGGACAAAAAGGAGCAAACAGCTCATTCTTTGAATTTCATGGGAGTATTTGTGTGTACAGTCACCAGGACTGAGAATACAATGTGGGAGCTTGCAGACAGCGTTTTCAGAAATGATTAATGGCTGAGAGGCTCTGGGTATGGCTGAAAAATTTGGACACTTTAAGGAGACTGGGGTTTCAGTAATATGTAAACAGTGGGTTTTGTGCATTTTAGGCTCTTGCACATCTCAGTTGAAAAGTCAAAATTTCAATGATTTCTCATGAATTAAAAAGGAGCAAAATATTTGAAACTGTGTGGAATGTACTTTTCATGGCTTTTCACCAAATCTTTGGCATTCAGCTCCCTTGTCAGGACTGACAGTGGTATTACATCTCTGCAGCCTTCAAGGCTCAGATCTTTTAAAGTTGCTTAAACATCCATGTGGCTTTTATCCAGAACTTATGGATTCTTGTCTCTGTTATTTCCTCCAGATCCGTTCCGATAAGGACAAGGAGATCCATATCAGGTACAGCATCACTGGAGTGGGAGCCGACCAGCCGCCCATGGAGGTCTTCAACATTGACCCTGTGTCTGGCAGGATGTACGTGACACGCCCGATGGACAGGGAGGAAAGAGCTTCCTACCATGTGAGCACCCAACATCCTGACCTTCAGCTGGGCTCACAAGCTCAGAGCAGAATTGCTGGGTTCAAGAAGGGACACGCTAGATCAGCCAAACCCATGCAAAGAGCTGGTTGGTGGCAGCTGAATGTGGGCCAGTTGTGCCCAGGTGGCCAGGAAGGCCAATGGCACCTGGCCTGTGTCAGCTGTAGTGTGGCCAGCAGGACCAGGGCAATGATTGTCCCCCTGTGCTAGGCACTGGTGAGGTCACTCTGTAAATCTGGGGTCAGTTTTGGGCCCCTCACCACAAGAAGAACATTGAGCATGTGCAGGGAAGGGTGGCAGAGCTGGAGAAGGGTGAAGAGAGTGAGTTTGATGAGCTGAAGGAGCTGTGGGAGGTTCAGCCTGGAGAAAAGGAGGCTTGGGGAAGACCTCATCATTCTATGACTCCCTGGAAGGAGGTTGTAGCCACATGGGAGCTGTTCTCTTCTCCCAAGTAACAAGTGACAGAACAAGAGGAAATGGCCTCAAGTTGTGCCAGGAGAGATTAAGGTTGGATGTCAGGGAAAATGTCTTCACCAAAAGGGCTGTCCATCCCTGGCACAGGCTGCCCAGGGCAGTGGTGAAGTTACCATCCCTGGAGAGATTGAAAAGCCGTGTAGATGTGGTACTTGGGGACATGGTTGAGTGATGGGCTTGGCAGTGCTGGGGGAACAGTTGGACTTGATCTCAGAGGACTTTTCCAACCTAAACAGTTCTGTGATTATATGAAAGTGGAGATAAACTGATGTCTTTTTCAGACACAGAGTCATTTGTTTAAAATGGTGCAACTTCACACTGCTTGTTAAATCCATGCAGATTTATGTGTAGACTGAACCACCCAAAACCATGAGAAGTTAGTCACTACATTAGCATGTCTTGGGAAATCACTAATTTAAGAATCATTACTGCATCTAAACATGCAATAATTGCTATAGTCATTTTTCACTTTAATTCACCAGGAGATGTTCAGGCAGTATGATGGGGGTGTGTCAGATAGGTTTTTAAATACACAGATAGGCTAGTATTAAATATCAGGGAATTAATTAAGATTAATTACACTCAGAAGCGATGGTGCCTCATGCTATCCTAGTTCATAAGATGCTCTACCTGCAGAATGCTCACAGTGTAATTGATTGCTATGTTTTGATATAAATCCCAGCTCCTCTATTGCAAGGTGTAATTGCACAGCAGATCCAGTCCCACACAAATTGCTAAAAGAATAGGTTGCCCCTTGCATGATAGCCCTGCAAAATTTCAAACATTTTCTGCATCTGCACTCTAGTTGTCTGCTGGAGTGGTTGTGAAAGGTTGTTTCATGGCTTGCTATCAGCTTAGCCCATCTCCTGGCGTGGTAATAGCCCTTGCCAGGGATGCTGTAATGTCAGCGGAGCGCACGGGTCACTTGCAGTGACACCACGTCCCGAACTGCGCCGCCGGAGATGCACATTCTGTCAGCTTTATCAGGTATCCAGTTAGCCATGTTGACACAGCTTCTGGGCTGAGGTGGAAAGATAAAGAAAATAGATTACCTCTTTAGTTGGGTGGAAAAAGAGATTTCCCCTGGGTAAAAGGAGATCTGAAGAAAAATTATTTTATACTCTGTGAACAAGAACAATTATTTTGTTTGTTGTGCCTAGGAAAATATGAAAAGAGGTTGTTTTGGTGAAGAAATATTTGAGATAAAGTGTGTGTCATCTCAGTGTTGTTGATATTATTTCAGCAGTGCCAGGTTATTATAACAGTCTAGTCAATAATAAAAAAGTTAAGACTTTTGATGGAGCCGCTGTGATGTCTGTGATCAGACACTCACAGTCAAAAACATGAGATGAAACAGATTTTGTGCTCCATCCTAACAAACCCTGTGCCCCTTAAAAATGAACTGAACCTACCAGTCACAGTGAATTCAGCAAATTGAATTCTTGCCTTGTCAAAGGTGATGGGATGAATCTGCCTTGCACATACCACAGGATTTCCAGCCTTTGCTGTTCCTCATGGAAAACTTGCACTAGTGGCATCCATATGTAAATAAGCATATTCATAGGTTACAGGAAGATGTATTTTGTAGAGAGAATAACTGATAACTATGTTATGAGACCTTACAGACAGGAGTATGGAATGATAGAAAAATCTTTGTTAGGAGAATAGTAGAAGGTGATGAAGAAAATTTGTGTCTGTAAATGACCTTTAGATCCTTCAGCCTCAGTAGCAATGGATTGATGATTTATTGAACCATCAGTTGTCCATTTACTAACCCTTTACAAAACCTTTATAAATACACCATGCAAAAAGCAATGACCCAAACACTGGAGAAGAAACTTACAGTAGGAATGAGCAGTGCTGGAAATAAGAAAAAAATTTGGCCCATTTCCAGAAAGAAAATAAATTCCAAAGTCTTGGCTAGTGGAGGGCTTGAAGAAGTCAACGAATTTATGCCACTTCATAGAGCCCAATCTCTAGCTGATAGGAAAGGCAACACGTAGCCAGGTTTGAACTGAGTGCTGGAAGAGCAGTGACTGAGGTGTAGCTTGGATGTGAAGAGCTCGGCACCCTTTAAACTTGTTTGACATCTGCTGTAGTTTCCTTTAGCTTGAATGAGTAGCTTTGCTCTTCACTGGGGTGGAGAATGTCAGTGGAGCTGCAAGGCACCACTGGTCCCTCTGAGCCAGCAGGGCCTGGGTTCTGTGTCTGATGCAGCCTCGTGTTCCAGCTGAAGGTGGGTGCATTTACACAGCTTCAGACTTTCTGCAGCCCCAAAAAAACGCAAATCTTTTCAGCATCTCTGTCACTCAAGTGTTGTCCTCACTGCTTTTGTTCCCAGGTAATCTAAAAACTAATTATAAAAGAAAGAACAATAATTTGCAAGTCTTTGTAAAGCTACATATCAAGAGTTCTGTTTCATTAACTCACACATTTTCAACACATATTTTCTTATGCATAATTATCTGTGTTGCTTCAGGACTACCATTTTTAAAGTACTAGTGTTTTAACACTCCCTGCATTCAGCAAGCCATTTGTCTGATGAAACCTGCCTCGTTCCCTAAGGTGAAACAGATTTTTTTCTAATTAGATCAGGAGTTCTGCAGCAGAACTTCTCCTGTTTTTGTGATCATTCTTGAACTTTTAGGGAGGCTCATTCTGAGTTTGAGTTATGCAGAGATGTATGTGCCTCTGGGACTCACAGCCCTTGCCCAGGTGCTGTGTGTGCTGGTGATGGCAAGTTCAGCTGTATTTTGGCTTCATCTGTTTGTGTCTGCACTCCAAACCAGAGCACAAACTCTCCAGGGACATCCTAGACACAGAGTCAGCTGAAAATACCAGCAGAGAAAAGCAAAAAGGGCTCTGCAGTCACTTAACTAACCCCACACTGTGGTGTGGAACTGCACAGGTGGCATTGAGTGATGCCCTGGGAGCCACCCTGGTGTCATTAGTGCCATGGGACACGCAGCCATGGGACACACAGACATGGAACCTATTCCCCACATTTCTCTGCCATCTCACTGTGGCAGCTGTGCTGCATCTCCCCTTGCAGTCAGCCCCTGAAGTGCTCACTGTCTGCCCAGGAAGTTTCAGCAGGTAGCAATATTTAATTTGCATGAGTTCTCTTGGCCTTATTTAGCTGCACTCCCCAAGTCCTGTTTGTGCTGCTGACAGAATTAGTGCCTCTGAATGTCTTTTCTGATCCAGACACCAGTTTCATATTAAGCTGCAGTTAGGCCTGGCAAGTACAAGGGATAGAAAATTGGTAGCTTCATTTTCCAAGACATTTTTCAAGCTCTGTTTTCAAAAGACATCAGCATAAACATGTCAGTAAGTAATCATTGCTTATGACACTCAAGTAATATGCATTATAGGGAAACTTTGAAGCAAGTCCTAATCCAGTTCCAGACACATGTGTGCACTGTCAGCTTCAGGCTGATGAAATACTCCCTCAGAAATGGCTGGAGCAGAACAGGTGGGTTACAGACTGACAAAGAGTCATTTTAAATGCAAAGGAACAAAACTATTTTACTGCAAATTAAGGGATACAAGAGCTAATTCCAGTATTTTGAACCATGTTGAATAATTCCAGCCATTTGTGTCACAATGCTCTAAATTGAACTTTTAATCACAATTAAGAGCACACAAATTAGGCATGACATTGTATGCTTATTGCTTAAAGGCTCTGTCACTGATTGATAATGTATATTTGTATTAGTAGTATTAGTGCCTAAGTAATATTCATATTTAACACAATTCACTGTGTTGACTTTGACTAACTACCTTCAGATACCACCAGCCTCCAGTGTAATCAATAATCATGATACCAAATCATTTGTATGCCAACAGCTACATTTACACTGGAAACTGTCAGCAGGAAAACCTCAGAGACCTGTGGTAGCTGCTGCTGCATATGATAGCAATAATTGTCACACTTTTAAACAATATTTGTTAAAGAATATTTAAGTTCCTTGGCTGGTACAGCAGAGTGTTCCATCAGCTAGAGATTAGTTGGCTATGTGTATTAATTTTTAAGAATCCTTTGCAAGGTATTTAATTTGATTTTATTCTTTCTTCACTCCTGTCATGTTCTCCCTCTTGGGGAAAATGTAAATATTTCAAACTAACTTTATAAATGTTTTTTAACTGTCTCCAGCCACCCTCCAGCTCCCATTTGAATACTTGTGCATGCCCCATGTCTGGCATCTGACCTGTGGCCCAGGTGATGCTCACTGACCTTTCACTGGTTTATTTTCCAGCTCAAAATGATGTGTGTGTCTGATGGAGCTCAACCATCACCTTTTGTGCCTTGCCCAGTGCTACAAAGCACTCCCATGCATCTGCTTTTCATCCCTTCCATCACTTTAACACCAAAATAGAGGTGGCAGAGGTGGCTTGGGCACAAGTGGCCGCAGAGCACCACACAGAAATGTGCCTTGCAGAAATGAGTCCCATCTCAGCCATTGAGGAATGGCTCCAGAACAAAGTGTGTTGTCCAGCTTGAGGATGCCTCATGAATACCAAAAGTAGGACAAGAGAATGAGGGAGAAGATGAATTAAGGGAAATGTAGTATAGACCTGCCTTGGAGATCCAGCCAGTTTCCCAGCAGACAGCCTGACGCCCTGGAGTCCCTCCTCCCTTGGCTCTCTTTGCTGAGGATGGTCTCCAATGAGGAATTGTCTCTTAACAAGGAATGGTTTGTGGCAGGAAGAGTTCCCATTGAGTTGAAATTCAACCCTGTTCCTCAGGACTCCCCTCCCCTTTGCCAGGGCTGGCACTGGCCACAGAGAAGCGACGTGTTGTGGGAGATGCAGAGACATTGGCTCATGAGAGTTGTTCAGAGAGTACGGGCACAGAGAATTAATGCAAAGAAGCACAAAAGGAAAGAAGTAGAAATGTTCACTGAAGCCAGGCCAAAAAAAGGAGCAGGAGAGGGGACATGACCTTCCTGGCACTGCAGATGCTGAGTCAGGACAGCAGTGACCACACCACTGTGCCCAGCACTGCCCTGCCTCCCATAGCTTAGCCCAGTGCTGGAGCTGGGCTCAGGACACTTGAGCACATCACCACAGGTCTGATGAGATTCCTGCAGTCTTGCTTATTGAATTTTTTTTGCCTTGAGTGCAGGCAGTAATGCGCTGATGGGTACATGTGCTCAGTGAGTGCAACAAGCAGATAGATGTGCATTGCTGAGAAATCCCTTACTCCTGGAGATTTCAAACAAAAGCTATCGAATGTAATTAAAAATTTGCAGGGGGAGAGTCAGATCTGAGGGGGGAGATACCAGCTTTGCTCTCTGCTTTATCTCTGAATGGAACCATTTCCGCTGCTGGAAATGCTGTAAGAGAGAGCCCAGTGCTGCCTCAGTTTGAAGATAATAACTTTAATTTTAGCTCTGAATTACTTTTTTTCAAAGACAGTCTGACCTCTGACTGTAAAGTTATTGAATTGCCACATCTGACATGATGAAGGCTAGCTCAACAGGTGGGAGCCAAAGCAGATCCTATGTAGGAAAGAAATGCAGATATTAAGAGCATTGCAAGTCATGAAACACAAATGGTACACCCTGTATTGAAAGCAAAGCTGGACTTTTTCAGGCTTTAAAGAAAACGTGCTGCTTAATTTCCTTTGGAAAAAAAAAAAAAAAAAAAAAGTGTTTTTCTCCGAGCTCATTTCATGTGGCAGTTTGTTCTCTTTGCTTGATTAAATGTTAATCCAGCCCATCCTAACAGTGTGCAGTTACTTTTGTTAAGCTCTGGACTTCTGAGCACCATACATGAAGGGGAAAGTTGCATCAATCACCAGCACAGCGAGAGTGAAAGACAGAAACCAGGGCTAATGCAATTAGCACATTTATTTGTCATGCATCAGAGGAGCCAGAGACCTCCCTGTAAAGTCAGCTCTGACTCCCAGCAGCAGCCTGATGGTGTAGGGAGCTGCTGGGAGGGACCAGAGGCCTCCATCCCATGGATGGCAGAGCTGGTGTGTCCCCTGCCCTCCAGCCCCACTCTCCCAGCCAGCCCTGGCACCAACAGGTTGCCCAGAGGAGCTGTGGCTGTCCCACCCCTGCAAGTGTTCAAGCACAGCTTGGGTGGAGCTTGGAGCACCCTGGTCTGGTGGAAGCTTCCCTGCCTGTGACAGAGGGTTGGAACTAGATGAGCTTTAAGGTTTTTTCCAGCCCAGGCCATTGTGTGTGATCCTGTGACTCTGTGAAATGACATCCCTGAAGCCTTGGCTCCTGAGCCCCCCAGCTCTGTGGGATGTCACACCATCCCGAGTGCCATCCCCAGTTCCCGTGGCAGGGTGGAGGCTCAGCAGTGCTCACAGGGGCTGAAATGAAGAGGGATGGTGGCCAAAGCTGTGCAGCACTCGCAGCCAGGCAGTGCCTCCCCTCTGCCAGCCGGGTCGGGGCCGTGCCGCTCTTCCCTCGCTGCCGGAGTTCTCCTGTTCAGCCACACACCATTTAGAGTAGCCATCTGTTCCCTTTAATGAGAAAGCTATCCATTTTTTTTCACCTGGTTACTGATTGTTCCAGACTATTGTGATTGCTTTGTTTTATTAATTACTCATTTTGACATGCTGTATCTGTCTCTTTTGTTCAGAAAACAGATGCTCTTGTTTCTGGGCATTATTACTGATGGTTATTGCTAATAAGATAAAGCTGCAGTTCCAGTTTAACTGAGGGCTTAACACTGTGGCTCTAGTTATTGAAATGCCTCAGCACTGGGTATTTTATTCAAGCCTGAGGAAATTGCATTCTTAGTGCCATGGGGGCTCCCATTATTTGAAGGAAAGGGACTTTTTAAATGTCTTTTGCTGTGCAGAGCAATGGGGTTGATAGCTGCTGCTGTTCCTGGAGACCATGATTAAACAGAGAATAAACATTACTAAGATCATGCTGAAATCTCTTCACTTACTAATCCCCAGTATTATGGGTGTGAAATGCTGCAGGTTCCCATAAGAAACTTCTCACTCAAAATCATTTCCTCACTTTATTTGGAACTAAGCAAAATTTGCTTTTCAGATTGTCAGACGAGGTTCAAGATGTCTTAAAAATTAAATAGAGTGGTCTGTGAGTTGTGAAGGGGATAGGATTGCACCACTACACCAGAGTTGAAGTGTTTCCACTGACAATCACTGTTTCAAAATCTTATTTCAATATTATATTAAGCTCTGAAAAACTGTCTGTGAGTCGAGTGTAGATGGAAACGAGTCAGTGCATTCTGCTGGAATTAGATACTGGCTCCATTCAATTTTGAGAAAGTCTTTATGATGTAAAGTCAATCTTTGCCAAACAGTCTCTCGTTCTGCAGCAAATCCAGTTGCTGATATTGTGCTTTCATTGTGCTCATTCCCAGCTCCGGGCTCATGCAGTGGATATGAATGGAAACAAGGTGGAGAATCCCATTGACCTTTACATCTATGTGATTGATATGAATGACAACAGGCCGGAGTTCATCAACCAAGTCTATAATGGATCTGTTGATGAAGGCTCTAAACCAGGTACAGTTGAAAAAAAGTCTCAAAGTTTCACAGATTTTCAGCCATTCACCCGGGGTCATGGTTTGGGCTCTGCTGGGAACACAGGGGATGAGGGAGAGGTTTGCTCTTGCTGGCTGTTGGTGGAGGACTGATGGAGGTGAGAACAATCCCATTGTGTCTCTTTTTCTGGATGAAGAGAAAGTGCAGGCTTGGGATGGAGGGAACCTGGGTCCTGGTGGTCCCTTCCTGGCTGTGGGATTTGTAAAAGCAGCAGTTTTGTAGGGTAATGCTCTGTAGCACCATTCTCATACACTCACTGCACATGTACAGGGCTGTTATTCTAATTATGAGCACTGAAAGCCAGCCTGCCTGTGGCCTTTCCCTCACCCTGTGTCTCAAATGTTCAATATCCTCCTCCTTGATATTTAATTCAGTCATTTGCCAACTCAATATCTGGCATCCAGTCAGGCTCCAAAGAAGGCTCTGTCTCAAGAAAACTCTTTCTTACTTGGGACCTGATGGAAACCTGCAGAAATGGGAATATTCACATCGAAATTGCAGGCTCATCCTCTGTCCCCACAAACTTTTCTAGCAGAGGGTAAAATGGGGAAAAACCTGAAGTCAAATTTCAGGAAATGTATGGGTGAAAAATCGGTGAGGGTGTAGGCTGTATGGGGAATAGTGATGATTTCTACATGGACCACATTTATATGTTTGGAAGAAACAGAGCTGTAAAGGTCTTTAATGTTCTATTTCTGTTGATCTGCTATTTAAGTGTGGTGTAACCCTGCAGTTTCCAGTATGGGAGCAGGGTTGGTTTAGCTCATTGCTGAGTGTAACTACAATGAACATATCCATTCTTTGAACATAAATTGTTCTGTGTCGCCAGTACAATTGGAAGCCTCCTGAAATCAGAGGGAGTTTTTTTCCTAGATTCTCTCCTTGGTTGTTTGCCAGCTGAGGGGTTAAATACCCCGTGACTTTGGTTTGTGTCAGCAAACATTTATCACAGCAGCTCCGCTGCCGGAGGTGTGACAGGGAAGTCTCCGGTGGGCACTGTTTTTAACAAGGTGATTCACAGTCCTGATTGATTGTCTTCCAGCACCGTGAGGGACAGGCAGCCGTGGGGGACACATGGTGGGGACAGAACATGACATTATTTCTGAGCAAAGAATAGCTACAGCTCCCTTTCTGATTCCTTTGAGTGGTGATGTCCCAGCTTCAAAGTCCTGATCCTGGTTCTGCATGGAGGAGGGAATGTGAGAAGTCCCTGAGCTGACAGCTCTGATATCTTCCCAGAGAATTTTTCCAGCTTTCATTTGAAGGCCACTTTGGGGCATATAAAGGTTTGAAGATTGATACAGCATTTCCATAGCAAATCAAATTTCTTACATCTTATTTGAGGACAGATCAATATTCAAAGTGTTCCCAAATGTTTTAACTAGCTCTGTTCATCTGTCAAAGAAGCAGTAAATTGCATCCTCTTCTTGTCTGAAATCCAGATAAGCCTTTGAGCTATTAAATAGAACAGGATAATTTGCCTACAAAATACTTGTGCCTCTGCTTCTAGCAGTGTTTTTTGGTATTCTCTATCCCAGGCTGGAGTGCTTGCCTTTAAGGCAGGAAGGTAGAAAGCAATCTGTTCTTATTCAAAAGCAATTACATTTGTCTTTGATGTATTTGTCGGGTTTTTTTTTCCCTCTCTTTCCTGTTTAATCGGTATTCTTTTAAAGGTTTATATTAGTATTGAATTTCTCTTCCTTGCTTTTGTTGAGCCTCCTAGGAATTTGGGTATCAGAGGCCCTCATTCTGTGTGCTTGGCAAGAAACATGATCTTGTGCCTTTGAGGAAGTGGTAGAGAGGTCATGGAGTTAAAGGGAATATCGGCATGCTCCTCCTTTGCCTCAAAATTATGTCCCTCTTCTGTGCAGAGACAAGTGTAGACAATGTATTTAGCTAAGGGTAGATCTTGCAAATATTTAGAAACTTTTTATTGGTGTGAAGATGCCTCCGAATATTGTAACAACTGAGGGGGGTACCACACCAGCCATTGCAAGAGAAGAAATATGTTACCAGAATTCATGATTATTTCTGGCAGCGGTTGAGAAATGAAAGACACTGCATATTCTTTGAGGTAACAGCAACATTTTTTCAGTACTGATTCAACAGTAAGTTAGATACGTGTATGCATCTATAAAAATATGTCTGCATATGTGTGAATATCCATGCTTCAAGCAAACCAAAAAGTCTTGTTATATGTTACAGGAGTTGAGCATTCATTTTCCTCTGATCAGTGCTGCTGAACTATGCCTGAGGACTGAAAATGCTTCCCTGAATATCCTGTGCAATTGTTATTTCTCGCATCTTCCATATGCCCATTTATAACTGCTGTGATTAAAAAATGTAGGATTACTTGATTATAACAGTATCTGCAATGTTCTTAATTTTGCACACCTCTGATGAGAGATATTAGACTATCCCAGATAAATGCTGGCTCTGAGGGCAGCTAGAATGAGCAGCCAATGGCTGTTTGAAGTCAGTCGGAATTTTGCCCAGATTTAATTTAAAAAAAAAAAAAAAAAAAAAAAAAAAAAACAGATAAGAAAAGGATATATGGAGCTCAAGCACTACCCATGGAAATTTTGCAGAGCAAGACCATCACAAATGAGCTGTTGAGCAGAGGCTGAGCAGAGCACTCTGACCTTGAGGTTCAGGGAAAGCCCTGGTGAGGTTTTGGTGGGATCAGTAGAGCAGATCCCGTTCCAGTGAGCAGGAAAGGGCCCGGAGGTGCTGCCCAGCCCTCCTGGGTCCGGAGCAGAGGCAGGGCTGCCCAGCAGGCTGGGCTGTCCCCACAGGGGGCTGGGATGTGCTGACCATCCTGGTGACCTGGAACAGAGTGTGAACAGCGTGTGTGCTGCCAGGCTCATCATCTCTGAGCCCGGCAGGGAGCTGCAGGGTGTGCCAGGCCAGGGCAGGGCATGGAGAGTGGCCAGGCAAGGTGTGACCTACTGACCCACCAGTCAACAAGCCAAAAGAGAGCAGAGTGAACCAAGGAAAGGGAATGCAGAAGGAGGCGTGTTCCGTGTGACGCTGCTGGGCACTCAGCCTCCCGCAGGAGCAAGTTTGCTTTAGCCTGGAATGCAAATATACAAAATTGTCCAAGAGTTGGCAGCGATGTGAAGAGACTCATTAGACAGTCTGATGAGGTTTAAGTGAAGGGGCTTCCCAGCCTGCAGAGCACTCAGACTGGGTTCCCAAGGAGCGTGCTCTCTGCAAGTCACCTTGAAGCAACCCTTGACAGGAATAGAAACGAAATCATTAAATATTATTAATTATAATAGGTTGTTGTTGCTGGTTAAGATTATAATGACTTAATTGAAATAGTGTCTTGAGCCATAGCATAGTGTTCTTGAAATCAGGAGCTCACTCTTGGTGAAGTTCTCTGTAGTGAGAAATGGCCCCTGGACATCCTCAGATGTTCTGGCTCTTAAACATCTCTTTCCTTTTCTGATATTCTCTGGAAAAACAGTCTAATGCATTTCTAGCTTATGTAGCCTCAGGTCAAGTAGCTGGGCAATTTAAAATGTGTAAAAGCAGACCCTTCCAAAAATGCAGAACAGGAGTCGTGATGCAGGATTTCCTTTTCCACAGGACCATCTTTCTTCCTCACTCTCCCCCTCCACGCGTTGTTTTGATTTAACGCGCCGCTGTTTGAAAGTGTATCTTAAAAGACCGTATTTTACTCATGTTGAATAATGTTCTGCCTCTTTGAACTTTGCCTCTGTGTGAAGAACACAGCCAAGTTTTAAAAATGCAGCTGCAAGCTGGAGCTGAAATTCCCCTGCTCCCTCTGGCAGCCTTAATCAGCAGAGCTCTCCTGGAGCTGCGCTGCCTTTCAAGCGCTGGCAAAGCAGGTTGGGTGCAGAGCTGGGCTGCCCAGCACTGCCTGCCCTGCTGGGCTCTTCTGCCTTTTCCATGCCCACATCTCTGAGCTGCATCACACCAGCTCCTCGCAGCAGGAAGGAACTGGGGCTTGGAGTGGGATTTTCCCTTTTGCACAGCAGCAGTTGCTGCCTGCTGTGAGCACAGCCCCTGAACTTGTACTGCTGGGCGTGCAGGATCCCATTTCGGGAGAAACACCTACAGTTTCAAAAATTACTCAATAAGATGGCATGAAAATGCTTAAATATGAAAGAAGAAAGGGAATTTAATCACAAAACAGTAGTGGGATGGAGAAGGATTATTTTTTAGAAGCTTAGTTTTGCTGTAACCACAGCAGACCCTTCCTTGTGGAAGGATGTGGATGTCTCACTTAACTGAAGCGTTCAGTTCTGAAAAGGTCAATGTGAAATGCTCTGCAGCGACTTGAGTGCTTTGCTCTGGGTTGTATCTATTTTGTTTTAACAGAAAGATTGTCAAAAATTAACTCATCTCTTCAAAACAATTTGTTCCTGTCAGACTGGCCTTTTCCATTCCCATTCATCCTTTCCACTTCACTAACTCTCTGGATGCATCTTGGTCCCTTTTCAAGTCAATAGCACAAGCCCAAATGACTTCTTTTAAACTCTATCCAACCCCTTCATTCTCCTGGAGTTGTGTATGATAGTTTACTCCTATCACCTTTCTTAGGAGTGGTGTGAAAGAGTGCTGAGTGTAGAGAGTCCTCCAAAATATAGGAATATTAGTATTTCTTACATGAGAAATGTTGTAATTTAAAATTTCTCCTTCTCCTCCTGAGTCCATGGAACTCTGAGAGAATAATTGTTGATAACATGCCACGTGAAAAATGAAATAGCTAGGAGCCAAATCTATATGTGGCAAATCGAGTTAAAGAAAACTCATAAAAAATAAGCAGTATATTAAAAAAACCCAAGGATTTTAAAAGCTGATTATTTTACTAGTGTCCCAGTGTGTTTATTTTATTTCTATGCCAGCAGAGATTCCCTCAGAGATTAACACCATGGACTAATGCACAGATGGGGCCAGAAACTCGAAAGTCATCTGAATATTAAGAATTTAAA